ACTGCAGCAAACTGTATTATCTTATGTCCAAAGTGAGCCCAATTCTGAACATGGAATGAGTTGGGGAGGTTCAAGACCATGCAGGTCAATATTCTTCCCATTGACATCAAAGTATATATGTGTCTGTAGTTCAGAAGAGGTCAGTGGTTTAGACTCAAACGTAAGGGTCCTGAAGATAAAAGCTAACAGTAAGTGCCATATGGTGTTAGGCACTATTACTGAGGACTTCATCCATTTAATTACCATATGAGCCGTGTGAGGTAGGAACTGCAATTAATTATGTTGATAAAAGAGCTGACTTTTTAGAGGTCACATAGCTCCTTAGTAGATGAGCAAGGATACAAAGACCACTGTTTTAATTCCTAAGTCTTCAGGTCAAAGACACAAAGGAAAGGGCTATGGTGAAAACCTGGGCCACACTCAAATCCTGTTGGGAGAGGCTCTAAAAGGATATTCAGTTACATTTACACTCATGTAGTGATGCTCAACAACCAAACAGCATGACCTGTAGGGAACTGAGATGAAAATTTAGTTTAAAATTCCCTTTTCATGATTTTAAACAAGGAACTTTAGCTCCATGACTCTTGATATTTTCCCTCCCATTATCCATCGTGTATATAATACCACCTGAGAGGATTTGCTAAGAGTGAAATAAAATGAGTTTTATTTGAGAGTGCCACACATAAGGAGAACTTCCTAAAAGTCTTTTGGGCACCCTGCTCCCACCAGTCTAAAATAACCTATTATCTTCTAAAAGTAGCCACAATCACAAAACACCAAGGAACGGATGAGGCAAGGGTAAAAGTTGGATCCTGTGTGTCTTTTCGAAAGGAACATGTTTGCACAAGAAAGGCAAAGCAACTATCATTTGTATCTGCCCCTTTGTATGAGTGAGCATTTTATTTGCCAATATTCTACAGGGGATGATGGGATGTTCTCTCTCAGGCCAGTATTGTATGATACTGCTGACACCATGCCTTTCAAATGCTTTACCAGACATTAAACATCTGTAGCTATTTTGCATTCCCACATCATTGGGAGTGTTGTTGCTGTCATTCATATTTTAAGACCTTGAGCTTTATAGCTTTGCAGATTTTCTTCATTTTAAGTGCAATTGTATAAAACTTGAAAAGAAAACATCTTCTCCCAAGAAACACACAGCTCAAGTTGCTTTTATTGGAGAGATGGTTTTATCCCTCAAGGACAGAGAGATTGCTTTCCAGTTCTTCATGCCATCCAAGGGTATCCAATACACTTTGGAGAGTTTAACAAGCAGCTGCTGAGTATAAACAAGGTGCTACTGAGTACAAGAAGTTTATAAAATGTTTCACAAAAATCAGTCAGCTAGTGGGTCACTTTGGATATCACCTCAGTAACCTTACTTGGGCGTTTGTGGGAGGGGGTGGCTCTTATTGAGCTGGATATGCTACACCTTCAGAGATAACAAAGAAATCTCAAAATTTTGAGGTCTTATTTTTACATGGTGAGAGGTGGCCTGATAACAAGCAAGCTTGAGAAAATCTGCAAAATTATATAAATACGTGGCTCAACTCTTCTTCATTATAGAAATTGGACATCATGTGTCTGATTAAATTATAACTCAGTATAAACAGTGCTGTAGGACCAGTCAATACTCTGTCTTCTTGACTTGATTTGACTTCCAAGACAAGAGGCATAAAATTCCTACTGCATGCCCTATAATTTAGGCATTAATCTTTGACTTGGCATTCTAGTTACACCTACACAGAGCCTTTCAGTCTTCCAAAATGCCACTGTTCCAGAGTTTAGCAAATTTAGGCACACAGATCTGTATTGCTAGGAGAAAAAAAGCACTTGCTCTCTTCCCACTTCTTTCTATAAGACAAGTCTTCACCCTTGTGCTCTCGGCTCACTTTTAAAAATTGTTGTTATGGGTATTCTCAGTTAATTGAAAGTCTTGCAAGACTTTAATAAGAACTTCTTCTTTCCTAAAGGCTACAGCAGCCTTTATGCCAATGATGCCTTCAGAAACTGCCTTCACACCAGCCTGCTGCATATCAACTGAGCCTTCTGTTATTCATACGTTTCCCAGGATTATGTGCTCATTATATTAACAAAATCCCTATTATATCAGAATTCAATTGAGATTTCTGCTTCCCCTTAGGATTTCTCAACACAATGAATCTTTCTGCAGCTCTGCATTAGACTCACCTGGGGGATTTTTGTATTACTAATGCTTGAGCTTACCCCCAGAACAAATGAGTCAGAATCTTCAGAGGTCATGTCTGAGTTTAGTAAAGTCTCAAAATTAAGAAAGTGCTCTCAAGGTGCAGCTGGGGTTTAAGCTACTGTCTAGTCTTTCAGAATGTACTTAAGTTGGGTTTATCTCAGTCTGCCTCATTCTTTCTGGAGGATGCCCTAGGATCAACACAATGGCAAGACTGCAGTCAGCTGCAACATACAAACCAGGCTTTTATGTTTTACCACCAGGAAATCATTAAGACAGAGATGCTGATCTGCAATGGGTCTGGGAGTCTGCACTGCTAGCATGCCTCCAGCATACCAACATGGTTCTGTGGACCACTTGAAGCTGGAAGGATATCAAGCATTATTGATTATTCTATTTGATTCTTAACTCCATTTGTAACCTGGGATCTTGAGAAATAATCATGCCTGGGCCTAACTCATGAGGAAATTGAGCTGGACTCCTTGGAAGGAATCAGAGTCTCAGAGGTAGATCCTCCCCATCTAGATTTTGAAAGCTCCTAGGGGAAAGTCTGCTATGCTATAAGAGGTGGAACAATAGAGCATCCTTGCCTGGCTTATGACCAAAGCAGTGGTGAGAACATTCTCAGCTACAGCATATAAAGCAAGCCTTGAATGTTCACATCTTCTTAAACTGGACTCTCTGGATTTGAAGGTCTAGGGTGAGATTCTTCACTTTTAACAAGCTTCCAGGTGAAACCATGATGCTCCATGGACCACCTTAAATCAAGTCCTCCATGTTCACACTGATTTCATTTGATTTTTTTTAACCAAAAACAATTTTTATCTTTTAATAATGTATATGAGTGCAGATGCCTAAGAAATCAAGAAGAGGTTGTCTGATCCTCTGGAGGTATAGGCAGTTCTGAGATACCTAACATGGATGCTGGGACCTGAACTTCAGTCCTCTGCAAAGGCAGTAAAGCTCTTAACTACTGAGCCATTTCTCCAGTGCCCCGCCCCCATTTGCTTTTACAAGACTGCAACTCAAGGCACAGTGATAGAGCCTGTAAGAGGCAGGGTGGGAGAATGAGGACTTCAAGGTCATCCTGGGCTAAATGGCAGATTTGAGCCAGCTTGGGCTACAGGAGCCCACGTCTCAAGAAAGCAAAACCAAATTAAATAAACAAGTAAAATAACAATGTATGGAGTTGGGACACTGGCATTGTGGCTAACTGGGGTAACACCCCTGGGATGTTATTTCAGAGCAAATGGTGGGAAAGATTTGAGAAAAACATTGAAGAATGTTTCACTTCCTGCTGAAGATGCATGTAAACCAAAGTTATCAAACTAATATCTATATACTGAAGCAAGAACCCAGGCAAGAGATTTTGAATTTTCATGGAGTGATCTGGTGGTTTTGTCTCTGGCTGGATTGATCATCTCTGAACTCTCAATTGCTCCATCCAGGAGAGAATTCTTCATAGCATCATAGCTTCCTGCCTTCTTCCTCAATGCTTCCTTGGCTTCTACTTCAGTGGAAGGCCTTTTCCATCTCTCTGAATCCTTCCTCTGTCCTGAAGTTGTGCTTCTTCTCAAGGACTGTCTGGTCATTCTAATCCCTATCCCTACGCTGAGTATATGATAGACCAGCCTGACTCCATCTTAAGATGGAAGCCATCTTGCTACAAGGTCAAAATAAGTTCATTTCTGTTTTCTGTAAAATTTAAGTTTGAGCATGCCTTGATCCATTTTCTATAATTTGACATATTCTACACCCTATGAAATTTGACTCACTCCCTCACCATATCCTGACATCCACCCTGATAAGATGTTCTGCTCTGTGGTGATATGTTGTGTCCCCCAATATATTGTGCATCCTGATAAACTTATCTGGGGTCAGAGGACAGAACAGACACTAGATAGACAGAGACCAGAAAATGGTGGCACACACTTCTTTAATCCTATCACTTGGGAGGCAGAGATCCAACCAGATCTCTGGGAGTTCAAAGCCACACTAGAGACAGCCAGGCATGGTGCCTTATGCCTTTAATCCCAGGAAGCGATGGCAGGAAGCAGAAAGGTATATAAGGTGTGAAAACCAGGAACTAGAGCTGGTTAAGCTTATAGGCTTTTGAGCAGCAGTTCAGCTGAGACCCATTCAGAAGACACAGAGGCTTCCAGTTTGAAGAAACAGGATCAGCTGAGGAATTGGCAAGGTGAGGTAGCTGTGGCTTGTTCGGCTTCTCTGATCTTCTGGCATTCACCCCAATAACTGGCACTGGGTTTGATTTTATTAATAAGACCATTTAAGATTCATGTTACACTGCCCAATAATTTTAAGATGTTCAGCCAAGTTCCCATGTAACCAAAATGCCTCTGAAAATTAACCAACCCTTGGAAATCCCCAAGCCCTACAGCAATAAAAACCCTACTTCTCCTATGTTTGAGAGGGCTGAACTCTCAAATCCTACATTAAGGGACACTTGCTATAAATTTGGCCAAATCCACTCTCATTCGGTGGGATTAATATACATCATTCTTACTGCTTCAAGCTCCAGATATAATGCTGGGGAGCCACACCTGTAAGTGTGGCCTCTCCCTTTGCATAGATGGTTCCTACTCTCTTGTAAACATCTACTCTTGATACTTCTAAGACACTGAAATTCAGAATTCTCAAGCTGAACCCCGTTGTCCTGATTCCTTCTTGTATTTTGTCTGGACTTTTCCATTGCCTCTTAAGATGTTTTAAGCTCAGTGAAGAAAGCCAATATGTGACAGCCTTCAGTGTGTGTATCTTCATTCTGTTCTTTCAGCACGGACCTGTCCTGCACAGGAGCCCTTCCAACTCCTGACCCTGTCTGAGGTAAGCTGGGCTCCTCCTTCTTCTCACACCTTTTTTCTGCTGCCTCCTCTGTCCGACTGACGGTCTGTACCTTTGAGAAACTTGCTGCTAGCTCCTTCAAAACACCACCTGCTGTTAACACTTCTTCAACTCCAGCAGGAATTGACCAAAACCCCTGCTTGGACTCATTGCTGAAGCACTTTAACTTTTGCATTGGAATTCTGTGTTCCCTAATCTTCTACTTCAACAAACCTAGAACTGCTGGGCCTCCCTGCGCCTCCCCCTACTTCCCCCTACCTCCCCCTACCTCCTCTTCCCCTAGAGAAAGAACTCAGGGTTTTTGGTTGATTTCTTTTTTTAGCACAGTTTAATGAAATTGCAAATGGGCTGCACTGAATGGTCACTCACACAGCCTTCTTTGACTTGCTAAACAAATCCAGCCTTTATTTGCTCCATTCTCTTGTTCAATAAACATGTATTTGTTTAAGCTCAAATGGATTGCTTTGCTTCCCTAGAGAATGACAGAGTTAAAAGATGTTGATTTAGCAAATAGAAAAAAAAAGGAAGAAAGAAAGAAAAGAAACCAAACACTTGAATCCAGAAAAGGCTGGATTCAAATGTACAAATGACATTTTTGTAGAGTGACACTGTAGCTTGTCCCACTGTATCTTGAATCCACAATTCAGTCCCCAAACAAAAAGCATAAGTGCATTTCATTATAAAATGTAAGATCCATCTAAAACTGGTAGGGTGGTTTCAAGGATGATATTATTGACTCACGCTTTCCAGGGCTCTGCAACCACTGAAGTTTGAACAAAGCCAAAATTTCAAGCTAGGATCTCGAAGTGAAACCAGAAGCTATGGTTAAGAGAACAGAAATAGAATTGACAATCCAAATGTGTCAACAGCCATGAATACTGATACCAACAGATTTCAGGTGCTATTATTTTTTATTCCAAAGGTGAGTAAGTGTTTTAAATTTTTAAATGTTTAAATGCTTGGTTATATGTGTATATGTATTATATATACATTCTTTTTAACATGGAAAGAAATTCTTTACAAAGATTAATAACATTATAGCTCCAGTAAACTTTAAATGGTGCTCATGGATAAAAGACAGAAGTCTCCAGAAAGGCAACAGCTATCTTCAAGAAGGACTATGACTTGGGGATTATGATGATGTGTGTGGATCTGGTGGTGACAGTCTACAGAGCTGACTGGCACAGAGCTGTGCCACAGCTAAGCTATACAGGAACCATCTGGCAGCGATCTACTTGATGATGTTGGAAGGACATCCACGAGGATTGTGAAGAATATGGAAGAACAGATCAGTTTAGTCTCTGAACACAAGATGCAGTTGTTCCCAGGTGTGCTCATCCATCATCTCTTGTAAGGTTGTAGATGTTATTGTCTTTGTAATGGATTTGTGAGCCCAGAACAGAAGAGGCAGATTAATTTGTGGAATAGTTTACCTCTGCCAATGAAGAAAGTATAGGCTACAAAATTCCTGTTGAAGCAGTTTGTCCTTCCATCCTGGTTGCCCCTAGAGCACTGGGCTAGCCTCTGCTACAGAATGCACATGATTATCAGATTATTTGTCTATGGACGTCTGAAGGCTGCGAGTCCTTTCAATGCAGGAATTTTATTTTTAGTCCTTTTTTTTAACAATATTTAGAGGTTTGTCAGTGCCTGCTGTTTTTTGTGACAACGTGGTTCAATAGAGTTTTACATCATTTACCCTAGTAATTGCTCAATATTTAGCAAATGAATTCTCTACCAATTACTTCATCCTTTACCCCCTTTACCAGGGATAAACATTCCAAGAGGAAAGTTGATGTTTATTTCATGATTTTCATGTTTGGTGATGTTGATGAATTGTTGGGGCAGCTGATTATTTAGCTACTGCCTTGGCACATAGGGGTTTTCCCAGTATGTATCAACCACTCAGTCCTTATAGAGGCCAAATAATAATTACTCTGTGCCTTCTAACAACTGAGTTTTTGAGACATTTTGAATCTGAGAATGTTAGTTCTTAAGTTCACACTAAAAGTCTAAAGAAGGCCGGGCGGTGGTGGGCACGCCTTTAATCCCAGCACTCGGGAGGCAGAGCCAGGCAGATCTCTGTGAGTTCGAGGCCAGCCTGGGTTACAAAGTGAGTTCCAGGAAAGGTGCAAAGCTACACAGAGAAACCCTGTCTCGAAAAACCTAAAAAAAAAAAAAAAAAAAAAAAAGTCTAAAGAAGACCATAGTCAAAATCAGATTGGACTTGATAGGGGACTCCAAGCAAGAAGCAGAGGATAAAGGGGCTTAAGTCCTTCTCTTTCCAGCCACCCTTTGAGACACAGGAATATCAAAAGTCAACTTCCTCTGGCACAAATGACATGGTCAATAATCAGTAAAACACTAGTAGGCAAGGATTTTGAAATTTTGAAAAGGTAACAGTTGAAATACTATCATGGAAAAACTACAAGCTGCACGTAACTCACTGGAAGTCCTGGCCTCCCGTGGCTAGGTGAAAAAAAAAATCAACCAACACTGCTCTTTCAGTAAATGACCAAGATCCAAGGGTTGCTTATAACTAATTATAAGGTCAAAGAAGAACCAATAACAAAGGCAAGAAGCTTTCTGGTGAATGGCTAACGATAAAGCTGTTCCTTATGTCTTCCTGAACCAGAGCAAAAGATAGCACTGACAATGTAGTTATTGTTCCTTCCTATCTTAGATACACCTTAAGTTCGAGGCCACCTACAGCCGACTCCAAGGTGAAAGCAAATAAAATCAATAGAGTGTGTATTGATGAAATTATTAAGGCCGCTCCAAGTAGTTAAAAGGGAGGTTTATTTTGTGGGGTAACTTACAAGTGAAGGGATAGGCTACAGGGTCTGGGAAAGGTGTGGCGCAGTCCGGTGGTGTTCTCTGGAAAACTCTGCTCAATCTACCTCCAGCGTCCAGGGTCCAGGAACCAAGAGAGCCGGCTGCATCCAGATCTTGGGTCTTCAGCGTCCTCTCTCAGTCTAGCCTTGTATGCGTGACCGTTACCGAAGCCTCAATGGGGGTTGGAACTTCCAGATCAAAGCAGGAATGGCTACCCACTACGTGTGTGTGTGTATGTGTGTGTGTGTGTGTGTGTGTGTGTGTGTGTGTGAGAGAGAGAGAGAGAGAGAGAGAGAGAGAGAGAGAGAGAGATTTTCAGTTGGCCCCAAGGAGTAGAGCAGCCTTTCTGTTCCTGTCACCTGGAGAGAAGGGCGATTTACTGCCCCTTCAATAGAAGTAAGGTACAAAGATCCCAGCACCTGGTTCTTTCTCATTTCCTATTGTGCCCATCTTGACTTCCAGGGTACTTAGCTTTTATCTGAGGCTATTAAAAGTACAGTTTTCTCTCTTTCTCCTCCTTTACTTCTGACTGTAACAATTGTCCCGGAGTTCCTATCTGAGTGCATCTTAACATTCTTTATCATGATGAACAAGGCCTGCAGAAAGGAACTCTGTGTCCTGGAGATAGATTCCACCATAGTGCTGATAATGACATTGTCCAAAGGATGATGTGAGAGATCTCTAACTCAACTCAATATTCTGTTTCAACAACATTTCTTTCCAGACACAGCAATACTATGTAACCATCCCAAAGGAACATTTTTACTTTCTGATGTATGATTCAGTGGCATTTTAGCTTCACTGCCACTATAATTTAGCTTTAAAAAAAATCTCAAAAATGTGGAAAAATAACTGTGCTTTGTTTCTTCCTGGGCAAGATAGTTCAGTTTTCATAGGCTATGCTACTATTGGATGTATTATTTCACCTCAGCTACTGTACCAAGACTAGTTTAACTCCCAGCATCTGTGTTCAGCTCAGTTTGTTGGTGTTAAAAACAATTACAGCAAGTATTGCTGCATGCCTGTACAGCAGCTTGACAGGAGATGATATGTATTTTAGAGTTAAGAAATACATGACGCTGGCATCACTATTTTCAAAGGGAGTAAAACACGTGAAGTCCGTTGAGTCTTTATAACTGGCCCTTCCAATGTCTCAGGATTTAGCTGAAGGAAACAACACAGAAAGCAGGCATTGAAATCAATGAGGCACTACATTTTTCTTTAGCTTTTCAAACACATTGCAGGAGAGTAAGGAAAATCTATGGCTGATATAGAAACACACCAAAGATCCTCATTGTCACCAATGCTAGGCTTGCCTTTTGGAGATGCATCTGTCTTTGAGTCATTTGTATCTGTAAGTATCCCCCCACTCTTCTTCCTGTAAGCAACTAATTCATCCATCAGGCTGGACTCTGGTGGTGTCTGTATTGGTCTGTCATCAGCTCTATATCTGTGCAGTGTAGATGTTTGTTCCTGTCTCCCCAGTAACAGTGTTATACAGCACCTCAAAAATTACATAAAAATAGAAGTATTACAAAAAGGAAGGAAACAAATGGAGGGTAAGCAGGGAGATGGTGGAGAGGAGTAGAGGAGAATGGCCAATAAAAACAAATGTGGAGGAAAATGCCATAATGAAAGCCATTGCTTTTTAAACTAATTTGAAACATATAAATAAAAGAAAATTTTATCCAAAAAGCAACAACACAACAAAAAACAAAACAAAACAAAATGTAGTTACTGTTATTCAGCAGTTCTACTTGGGTATAGTCTCAAAACAAATTTCAGAAGGAAAAGTAGTGTCTCTTTGGGACACAAAATTGGGTATATATTTATGTCTATGTTATTAGCAACATTGTTGATGATGGTCAAAAGGTAAAAGCAACTCATGTCCACGATGAGTGAGTGGATGGATGGATGGATGGATGGATGGAAAAACACTGGAATACTATTTGGCCTTAAAACTGAAGGAAACTCTGACACATGCTATGACATAATGATCCATCAAAATATCACACCACGGGGCTAGGAATGCTGCCATGGTGGAGTGAGTAGTACCCTGGCATCAACGATGCCCTGGCTCCCATCTCCAAAACTGACAAAAAGTAAAGAAACATCACACTAAGTAAAACAAACCAATTCCAATAGAGCAAATATTATATGGCTTCACTTATATGAAGTACTTAGACCAAAGTCAGCCTCAGCCAGATGCCAGAAGAATAGAGGCTGCCAGCAGCTGGAGACAGGAGGGGGAGAATTCCAATTTCGTAAGATGAAAAGTTCTAAAGAGACAATTGCGTGATGGTTGCTCAACAACACAAAGCGTTCTATGGCACTGAGGCTGTGTAGCAGTTTCCTTTCAGACTGAAACATTCTATCCTGCAGGCAAGCTCTTTACCGCAGAAGGTAAACAACTCAAAACGCTTCAGGAAGTCTCTGAAACTGACCATATTTTTACAAGCACCTCCTTCCCCAGGAGAAAGCCTGAGAGTCATGAGCCAAGATGCAAAGAAGACTGAGACCACACTGGGCACCTGGAAGGAGCAGAGACCTACTGAACCGCCTAGAAGAGGCTCCAACCAACTGAGCCACCACGGAAACCTGTTGAGCTGCCTGCAGGTTGTTCAGTGTGCTCCAGATTCCCAGCTTTGTGAACTGTTATCCACGCTAGGGTGGACTCTGGTGACACAGCTGTCTTTGAGTTATTTCTGTTCCTCTAAGTAACTCCAATTAAACTCATTGGTTCACCAAGTTGAACTTTGATAGTCATACTTTGGACTGTCATGGGATCCCTATCTGGGTTGAGTAGGTGTGTGTGTGTATGTGTGTTGTGTTGTGTCTTCTCAGGAAAAGTTTGTCGCACAACATTGAGCTGTACACTTAAAATGATTATGATGGCAAAGTTTACATCATGTATATCTTGACACAGTTAAAAAATTAAAACCAAAAAGAATCTCCAGGAAGCCCCCTACCCACCCACTTTTCTGGTCTTTGAAGTCACCGTGGATGTGCAGAGCATCATGGGGAAGATCCTAACTCAGACACAATTTAGAGGAGGTGAGATAATACTGAACTTGATTCCCAAACACCTGGGTATGAATCTCTACTCTGTCATTTATAAGTCACTCTTTCTCTTAACAGCATGTCTGACATACCCTATAAAGTAGAGAATGGAGTGAAATAAAGAAATCTTATAATCCTTGATTTTTATTATTTTTTTAAATGTGTAAAGTTGGAGGAGGGGGAGAACAGGGCCAGATAAATGGCCAATTATGTACAGAAGTTTAAGGTGGACAGTCTGAAGCTGACCTGGTTCTTCTCTCTTCTGATTGACTAGTCATATAGGAGGTCCTCCTTACATCTACCATACTCTGACTACTTAACCACTTACAAAGTTACTTTTTCTGCATTTACGTTTTATTTTCTATCCCATGGGAATAACAGTAATGGCCTCACAGAAGGTGGACTGAGGTAGGTCATGGTGCTTGAAGAAGTGGACCTTTCTGTCTGTTACTCAAGAGAGGGAACACATCCCAATAAATATTCCATGCCCTTGGTCTTCATAGTTTTCTATGCCTGTAAATGAAAATCTGAATGCTGTGTATATTCTGAACTACTCAGTCTGGAGTGGGACAAGAGTTCCCAAGACTTCAGATGATCCTTTTTACTCATAGGCACATTTAGCTCATGAGGCTGTAACAGTATGGTCCATGCCTAAATATCTTCACTTTTTATAAGAAGTTAGAAAGTCCTAATTATGTCCCATTCATGAAAATTCATGTATTGGGATTTGGATAATGTTAGGAAGGTGGTGAGATATTGTGAAATGGCTTAGTGGAAAGATATTGGTATCACTATCTCCAGAAAGAATAGATATATACTTGGAGGACCCTGGTTAGTCTTTTTGAGGTTATTGAAAAGAACAAGCCTGGTGTCTCCCCCATGCTCTGACTTCCTGTTGCATACACGCCTACCATGATGCCATCCACTATCTAATGCAACTAGAGATGCCCTCATTAGAGCTAGTGCCCTGTTGTTCAGACTTTTAGCCTTTTGAACCTTGAGTTAAATAAACTTCTTTACAAGTTATCCAGCCTTTGTTATTTTGTTATACTAACAGTAATGGAAAACAAACTAATACATGGGATGGCTGCTATCTTAGAAATAAAGACTAGAGTTTTTAACTTTGCCACTCTTAAGTGAGAGAAAGAAAAGCCCAGAGCTGAAAAGTGCCGTGACTAAGGCTGAGAACAAGGATGGCTCAGTCCTTACACTTACCATGAGTCCTGTTATCAAGGACACTCTTAAGCCTTGTCTTTCTTGAACATACATCCTGACTAAAAAGCCCATGAACAGAGAGCCAACAGCCACACTCAACAGAAAAAGCATGAGGTCTCATGCTTCTTTCTAATCTGGAATTTTCTACTGTAGTGGTTCTCAACCTTCCTAATGCTGTGACCCTTTAATAAAGTTCCTCATTTTGTGGTGACCTCCAACCATAAAATTATTTTCATTGATATTTCACAGCTGTAATTTTGCTTCTGTTGTGAATCATAATGTAAATATCTGCTTTCCCATGGTCTTAGGCAACCCCTGTGAAAGGGTCATTTGGCCCCCAAAGGGGTCATGACCCACAGGTTGAAAACCACTGTTTTACACCTTTTCAAAGGAACAGAGGCAAGTGACTAGTCCATATTTTCTCACTACCTAAGAGTCTGAGGATACGTTTTATACAATGAAACTCAAGCTATCATTAACCCTCTAAATGATTTTCTTTCTTGAAACTTTAGATGACACGTGGCGAGGATTTGAACTCTGTTTATCCCTCACCTTCCTACCTCTGGATCTCAGGCTTTGCTTTCTCACTCTTTAGAATAAAAAAAGATGGAATGTTCCAAGAGATGCCAAAGCCACCACATCCTCTCTGAAGAGTGAGTAGTGCTGGTGACAGCCTCAGCCCCAGCCCATGAGCCTGTCAGCTTAAGAGAATACCTCTCCTGCCATGACTCCCCACAACAGCTTCCCAGGAGTGTGTGAGAAGCGTTCCTGTGTCTCTGCTGCAGCCCCAGTGGGTGCTTCTTGGCTGAGTCTCCCCACATATGTTGTCTTCATGGTGGCTGCTCCCAGAAAGGATTGTAACTCAGGGGAATCTCTTCACAGATTTCTGTCTGGCTTTAAAACAAGGAGCTCTCAAACATGTCAAATCAGAGAAGCAGAGGGTGGCTCTATTTTGGAGGTACATTTTCCCTCTGGGTTTGTGAAGTTGTCCCCTGAGAGGACTCTTCCCTCCTGCATCCATCAGTTTGATGGCTTGCACATTGGAAAGCAACCTGGTATCCTTTGGAAAACAGAGACACGGTTTAGTGAGGTTCAGGTTGAATCCGGAGGGAGGGAGGCAGCAGGAGGCGGGGGAGGGACAGCACTGTTAATGTACACAGCATGTAGCATTAGTTGAATGCTTCTGTTGGTTGCCATAGGAATGAGAAGACTTTTGATTTGAAATCACAGTTCCTCTGAAGCTATGTTTAAATTGCTATGCTGGATTCTTGCTGTTTACCACTACCAGCTTTTGAAATCAAGGGCTCTTTAAAAAATGCAGTTCAAATATTTTCCCTGACAAAGGAGGTTGTACCAACCTCAAAAATGTCACTCCCAAGGCCCTAACAGCTAAAGAACAGGGACTTCTCTCAATTACTTTGCACCACACACTTCCCAAGCCAGTGAAGTACAATGCAATTCCATTATTTGTCCTTCCAAGAAGAGTCTGTGAGATCCACAAAAAAGTATGGAAGGGACAGCTGGGCACGCAAGGCAATTGTCATTATGGTGATGTGGAAGCACATTTGAAAATCAAACAATTGGTTTGTAACAAACAACCTTCGACATCATTTTCAAGATTACTTGTTTAAAATATGGTGGCATGTGTGCGTGTGTGTTTTTCCCATCCAACAGCTTTCTAATACTTTCTGATACAAATGCAAATTTCTGATACAAGAGTGCCAGCCTTTAGGTTCAACGTTAAACACAACACCATGTTTCACAGTGTCTCTCCTTCCCTTCACCCATTACCAAGTAGACATATTTTACACCTAAGTTGAAAAGGATTAGAGAAATTAAACACACTGAAGATCAGAAACTGCGTACAAAGCCTTCCAAATGACATCTGA